TTCCTTAGATTGGAACCCTGCATTTGGTTCCATACCTGGCCAAAATATTTTAGTCAAAATTGTATGCAAATGAATTCATATTTAGATGTTGCTCAAGACACTTCAAATGCTTGTAAAATTTGAATAATTTGTCATTTTATTTTGCAAACAAACTGAAACTTGCATAAGAATTACTTAAAAAGTTAATAAAAGTTGATTAGAAAGTTTGTAAAGTTCATAAAAGTGACTTAAAAAGTCCAGCTCCACTGTGGCTTTGTTGGCTTCGTCATTAAAGATGCCTGTGCTCTTTGACACCTGCAGTAGATCCTGTTTCTGATCTTCATTCTTTATTTGGTTACAGTTAAAATCTTGAATAAGTTTCACCCCCTTTCAGCAACATCATTGACACTTTCCTGGAATGCACAGTTTTAGCAGCTTCTGAAAGTCTCATCATCAGCCCAGTCTGCAGGGGAACTGTTCAAAATGTTTTTGGCAGATCAAGAGCTTTGAAGAAACGCATCTAGCTGGTGGAAACAAAATCCCTGATCTGCTTCCCTTTGGTGGAACCTCTGAAACTTCCTTTTCCATAATATTATGAACCATCAGCATCTTCTGTTCTTCTGTCACACTAGAGTGGAAGAATGCCAGACCAAACATTTCTTTATTCAAGGACCAAAGATGTCGCCCAAAACTGTTCAGGTGCTTTTTTCACAATTGAATGTTCAGACTGTGAAGCTTCTTAAGGAAAACCAAATCATTTGCAGGAGCTTCAAAACTTCATGAGCAACCTCTAAAACATCTCCTTTTTCTTCCAAATTTCTTCCTAAATCATCTTTCAGATGTTAAAATCTGATGCAGGGTTCTAATGGAGGTGATCTGAAACTTTATTTTGATGGACCACCCTAAGGTTCGTGTTAATAATATGTGCAAGATAAATATCTTTTTAAAGCCACAGTATGTAACTTTTTTTTTGTTTTTGTTTTTTTCTTATTTTGTTTTTCAGTTTGGTTGTCTTTATTGCACTGAAAAACCTAGACTAGTCTAAACTCATGGACCACTCTGGAACCTAGAACACTGAGGGATTACACACATATAAGGCCACATGGGAATAGAAAAGAAAGTACTGCCATTACATTTTTAAAATTATCACTGTAGTATTGGGATCGGTATTGAGTATCGAGTCTGTTCATTAGAAACACATGAGTATGCACTGCACTACACTTTAGAATTTTGGAACTACTTTGTGCCTTAGTATTCATCCGCCAGACAAAACACTGCAGAGTCGACAACAAGTGTGTTTATTTGGCGACTCTAATCTAAAACAGGTACATCTAGTCCCCCACACTGGAGCAGATCTGGAATATCCCTGTGACGTCAGCGCGCTGGATTACAGGCTGTTGTTTTAGATGAGGTTGGTTCATTAAACGATTGAAATTAAAGTTGACTATTCTGCTTAAAAGGCCTTCAAAAACCAGAAAGTCCCTGTTTTTATGTTGTCTGTGGGAGTGAGTTTCATACGGTGTGGATGTGCTTCCCCGCTCTGCTCAATTACAGGGACGAGCGCCTAGTAGTGTTGTCACGATACTAAAACTCCAAACTCCATTTCAGTACTAAGGACAATGCAGATTCTGATACTACAATGATAATAATAATAATTATTATTATTATTATTATTTTTTTTAAACTCACACAATAGAATGTGGTTTCACATTCACACAATTTTTCATCTATGATACGAACAGACCTGGAGTTGTGTTTTGTTTCAAACTGTTTTCTCAAACAGAAAACACTTGTTCCACCTTATGATGTCATTGAGTGGTAATACAGGAAGTGCTCCACTGTGTTTTTAAACTCCATACACCTTCACTAGAATCACTTTGATCATTTGAGCCTCATTGCAACTGATGAAACAACAACTACTGACAATCTGAGCTGTACGAAAGGTCAAACAAAAACATTCAACACAAAAGCAACAAGCTTAAGCATATTCTAGAGCAGGAGTCTCCGATCTGTAGCTCGGACCCAACAGTAGCTCTCCACCCCCTTCCAAGTAGCTCACCACAGCATTTCTGAATTATACATATTGTGCTGAGTGACTCAAACTTGATGAACTACTATTGTAAATGTAACATTTTGATGCCTAACTTTGTGCACTAATAAATGGATAAAAGTTCATGTTTTATAGGTGTCTAAATGTTTACCATCTAAGCTTTTCCTCTGCTCCATTTCTTGGGACCGTTAAAATGTGTAGCTCTTTGGCATTTTCTTTTAGTTAAAGTAGCTCATCAAAAGAAAAAGGTTGGAGACTCCTGTTCTAGAATAATGAAGAGTAAATCAGTTCAATTGAGGCTAAATATATCTGTTAACCTTAAAGCTACCACTAAATGACATCACAAGGTGGATCAGAGTATTTTGAGCTGAGTAATACAGGATTATTCAAACATGTGAATAAAACTAAACACAAGTCCAGGTCTGTTTATGAGGAGGTAACAGCATTAGAACATACAGACGTTCTCCTGCATCAGGTTTGCATAATATAAAACCTTTACATTATAGACTTTTCTTTCATATTACAATGTGTCCTTGTATGTGTGTAATCCTCAGTGGTGCAGTAGGTTCATAGTGGTCCGTGGGTGTATACTAGTCTATGTGCTCTTCTACTGTTCTGAAACAGCTCAACATCATTCTGAAACTATTGAGGAAAGGCTCATTTCTGTGCTGTGAATGGGATTTTTAATTTTTGATCCCTGCTCAAACGAGTATTTAGTTTATATATTAGCTTTAGTATTGATTAGTATCTGATTTAGATACTTTTGACAACACTAGCGCCTGTTAAAGAAGGAGAAAGAAGCAAAGAAAGTGTGGTGGTGGAAGCAGTGAGAGAGAGGCCTCATGCTCTCTTATTGAGGCGCTGTAAAACGTCCAGACCGCAGCAGTTGCCAGCCTGGAATTCACTAATGATACACGTGGGCCTCAAATGAGAAGTGCAATTTTGTGTGTGTGTGTGCGTGTGTGTGTGCACTTGTGTGTGTTTGTGTGTGCTGGTGTGTGTGTGTGGAGTTTGTGTGCACGTCGGAGGCCCTCATCTCTGCGTCTATGTAATTGTGTTCGCCTACAAACTAACTACAGTGTCCCAGTGCACGCCCCGCCCACTGAGGGGGAGGAAAGGGCTTTAGCTCCAGAGCTTTAGACAGGTTTATCTTCAAAGTTTGCACCAACAAACTCCTCACTATATGATTTGATTTTTTCAAGACTGAACAAAGCTGTGTCAAAACTACAATTACAGAAGGGCCAAACTAGTGGAACCAGGACTAAACTAGTTCACACTTGTCCTGGTCTAGTCCTAGTGTGGTCCTTGTCTGGTCCTGGAGTGGTCCTGGAATGGCCCTGGTGTGGTCCTGGAATGATCCTGGAGTGGTCCTGGAATGATCCTGGTGTGGTCTTGGAATGGTCCTGGTGTGGTCCTGGTCTGGTCCTGGAGTGGTCCTGGAATGGTCCTGGAGTGGTCCTGGTGTGGTCCTGGAATGGTCCTGGTGTGGTCTTGGAGTGGTCCTGGAATGGTCCTGGAATGATCCTGGTCTAGTTCAGTTTTAGTTCGAGTTTATTTGCACTTTTATCCCAGTTTGATGTCCTGGTTGTGCAAGTCTGAACGCAGCCTTCATCTCGGAGTACTTAGGATTACTATCAGATTTTGCTGCTAGCAGCGCAGTACTTATTAGTTATTCCTCTGTAAGTACTTAGCAATATAAGTAGATGCATCAGCAAATGTAAAAGTATCAGTATTGGATAAAAGTTTTGTAGTATTAAGTGAAGTAGCCTATAATAACTTTGTTCCTCCACATACTTTTGATAATTTTTTTCTTTTTTTTCCCCATTTGAGTAGATGTTTCTGATAAAAGAAAAGAAAACAACCACATACCTGGCGGGACCTTCCCCCTCCTCCAAAAGCAAAATGGCTGCTGTGCAAACACAGCACACCTAGCTGGCTCCAGACGCCCGTGTCCCCAGAAAGAGTCTTGTTAATGGGCAAAGCGCGGCTCTCCGGGCCCCTGGAGCATGGAGAGGCTCTGGGAAGTGAAAGGAATGGGGCCACAGGCACATGGCTCTTGAAATCCTCTGTGTCAATAGAGTCTGTGGAGCAAAATAATGGCATCAGTTTGTGTGGGTGATAATGTGAGCTGATAGCATGAGGCCAAAGGGTCACAGCTCAGGGGCTGCAGCAGGGAGCACAGAGGAAGGCAACTACACACATGTGTGTATGTGCTCATGCACACAAACACACACACATGTGATGTACACATGCACACAAACACACACACACATGTGTGTATGTGCTCATGCACACAAACACACACACACGTGTGTGTATGTGCTCATGCACACAAACACACACACACGTGTGTATGTGCTCATGCACACAAACACACACACACGTGTGTATGTGCTCATGCACACCCACACACACACGTGTGTATGTGCTCATGCACACACACACACACATGTGTGTATGTGCTCATGCACACAAACACACACACATGTGATGTACACATGCACACAAACACACACACATGTGTGTATGTGCTCATGCACACAAACACACACACACGTGTGTATGTGCTCATGCACACAAACACACACACACGTGTGTATGTGCTCATGCACACAAACACACACACGTGTGTACAGAACACAAACACACACACACACACACGTAGGTGTCAGTGCTTTGTGACTCCTCTTCATTTCCTGGATTCTGTTCCTGACATGATCCATATTTGTTCATCACTACTTGTCTAAAAAAGAAATAAAAACAAATTGAGCGTGATCTTAATCTAAACCTGAGATTACAGATGATCTGAAGCACCGTTCCTGTTACTTCATAACACTGTGTAGTGCCCTTGTCTCTCCACTGTCTGTGACAGGTGCACTGTGACAGGTGCACTGTGACAGGTGCACTGTGACAGTTGCACTGTGTGTTTGCCCTCACAGACTAACCCCTCTCTCTTTCTGTGTGCCCGCAGACACTGGCACCTCGGTGGGCTCTTCCACGGGCAGCCTGCGCTCTCACTGGTGCAGCGTGGCGTACTGGGAGCAGCGCACTCGTGTGGGGCGTCTGTACCCGGCCCATGACCCCGCTCTCAGTATCTTCTACCACCTACCTCAGGGCACGGGGCTGTGCCTGGGCCAGCTCCACGCCAACGCCTACCACAGCCGGCGCGGGGAACCAGGGGGCCCTCAGCACCCGACAGGAGGAGGGGCCGGGGCCGCGCAGCAGAGCCGCAAGAAGATCGGCTTCGGGATCCTCCTGAGCCGCGAGGAGGACGGAGTGTGGGTGTACAACCGCAGTCAGCACCCCATCTTTGTACACTCACCCACCCTGGAGGCCCCGGGCACCCGCGGACTCACCGTGGAGCGGGTGCTGCCCGGGTACTCCCTCAGGGTGTTTGACTATGAGCGCTCCAGCTGGATGGCACAGCATGGGGTCAAACCTGACGTCCAGGAGGGCCCTTGGGACCCACACAGTATCCGCATCAGCTTTGGGAAAGGCTGGGGCCCCTGCTACTCCAGACAGTTCATCACCTCGTGCCCCTGCTGGCTGGAGGTGCTGCTCAACAATCACAGATAGCACCCACTCAGCCTCCGCACAGCCTTGTTTTCACTGGACTGCAGCACAGGGGCGGGGCCACTCACAAAGGGGTGGGGCCTCTCACACGGGTAGATCACAGATCGACAGGTATTCTGCATCTGCACCACAGGACTCCCCCCTCAGCCTCTTTTAAGCTCAGTCAGTTCATCTCCAGCTTGTGAGTGAGCAGAGCGTTTCAGAGCAGCTCTGATCCCACTGTGTCCATGACAGATCGTTATAGGATTGGTTTTGTTCATGTGGATCTTCTTGGAAAAAATGATGATCCACACTGTGAGGTCACTGAGAGGCACATGCTCCTCCTCCTCCTCCTGCTTTAGGTTTTTTGTAAAATTTAAATATGAGTAAATTTGACTGTAAACACTGAGTCCAGAGAGTTCAGTGGTCCTTGTCTGTACCTGAACCAAACCACGCCATGAGCACCTGTACTATGCAACCCACTGACAACAAGGCTCCGTATGTACCCAGATTTAATATAAAGTTTCTATTATATAAAGTATATTATACATGTAAATACTTGAGTCCTTTTTACAATGCAATTATTTATGTCTAGTGTCATGTGTGTATGGACAGAACACCCACAAGCACTTTGGTTCCATATGCATCAGGATGGACAAAGAACATCCACCAATCAAAGGGTCTCACTCAGCAATTCCATGAAAACGATGCCATACATTTGTCAATAAAATATTTGTAATAAATCATGTTCTGTGCCATTGTGACTTTTTTGCTGTAAAGGTAAAACAGTAAATGAGGAGTCAGACTTTTTGTGTCACACTCATACACTCTGATCTCTGTTCGAAAGTTGTTTCCTCATCACAAACAGCTCATCTGGAGTTTTGTTTGTTTCATTCACATGTTTAACACACAAACGTACACATTTAGGTCTTGTCTCAAACTTCCTGATAATACAGGAAGTGCTCCACTGTGTAAACACTATATACTTTTACTAGAATCATTTGGACAATGTAAACCCTGGAATTGACAATCTCCACTGAACGAAAGGTAAAAGGAGCTGTTAACTTGAAAACTCCCACTGCATGACATCACAAGATAGAACCAAGCATTTTGAGCTTTGACAATGTAGACAAATAAACAAACAAACAAAAAGAACTTGTGTGTATGAAACAAAACTCCAGGTATGTTTTGGAGGAGGTGATAACGTGATAACATGGCTGAATGGAGAGAAAAATCATTAGTTCAGATTTGTAGCAAAAGACATTCATTAAAGTGTTTGTGATATTTGAAATGATGACTCACGCTGCTGTTGTCAAAAGTCTCAGAAATTACTGTACATACTGATCCATATTAAGACTTGTATTGAATCTAAATACTCATTTGAGCAGGAATAAATTCTAAAAAAAAGTCCCATTCATAGGACAGACATGAACCTTTCCTGAAAGTCTTTAGAATGATGTTGAGCTGTTTCAGACCAAGTTTACGAGCACATAGACTAGTATACACACATGGACCAACATGAACCTACTGCACCACTACCTGGATGATTTTTCTATTTCCGCATGAGAATAGAATTGAAAGTACTACCAGTTAAAGTTGAAAATCATATTCTACTGCATCAAGAAAGAGATTTTATTATCAGTGTGTTTTGGAATCTGTATTGAGCATCGAGTCTTTACCTTTGCATTGAAATAGAGTTTGAAATGTTAGTACTGAACAACACTATGTCATACATATTACTGTCACATATTATCACTTACACAAAAAAGGACAGTAAATATCAGATGAAATTGAGATGACTGATATGAGCTACAGAAAACCCTGTGGTAAGAGCACTGGCATTACACTACTACATACACATACAGTCGTGGATAAAATTGTTGGTACCCCTCTGGTAATGAAAAAAACATCAGCAATCATCACTGAAATAACTTGAAACTGATCAAAGCAATAATAAATAAAAATTTACTGAAAATTGTCCAACAAAATTCAAACATTGTTTTTCACCTGTGGTTCAAAAGGATTATTAGAAAAAACTAAATAATGAAACTGGCCTGGACAAAAATGATGGTACCTTAACTTAATATTTTGCTGCACAACGTTTTGATGCAAACTCTGCAAACAAATGATTTCAGTCACTGTCAATGAGACTTCTGCACTGGTCAACTGGTATTTTGACCCATTTCTCATGAGCAAACTACTCTAGTTGTTCTAGTTGGTCTAGTCAGACAGCGTCTTTCAGCTCATTTCACAGATGTTCAGTAGAATTGAGATCTGGGATCAGAGAAGAACACTCTAGAACAGTCCAGTGTTTTGTTCTTAGCCATTCTTGGGTGTTTTTAGCTGTGTTTTTTGGGTCATTATCCTGTTGGAAGACCCATAACCTGAGACATGGGATGGTGTAGGTAGAAGAGCAGAGCTTCTGACAGCTGTGTGTCTGACTGCTCAGGTGGGACCGGGGCTCCTGGGGCTCCTCATTCCACACACTTCCATCTGATGACCATCCATATGTTTAATGTACATTTCTCTATACAGAAATTTGTCCTCTGCATTTGACTTGTCCTTTGATTCCACCAGAGCAGCGTGTCAGGAGCAGTGGAAGTCACTGCACAGTGCCCAGGGACCCACCTCTAGATCTTGAGCTGAGGGACTTGTTTAACAGCACAGATCACCTGTTAGAGTTCCAGCTAAATCAGTTCTTTCTGCTTCGATTGTGTTAAAACAAACTCAAGTTAAAGTGTAACTTGAGTAACTGAGCTTCAGACAGAGCAGTGCCTACAGTTAGCATCACACCCCCCGGGAATGTTGATGACATCAGCTGCAAAGTATCAGTTGTGCATGTTTTGGGTTGACGAGGAAAAAGGGAGTGCCCCTCTCTTCACTTTCTCTCCGAGTACTTTGGGCGTCTTATTCTTAAAAGAACAAACACATGTTAAAGAGCACAGTGTAGCTGCAGTGCCCGTGTCTCTGTACTTATGATCTACGACACATCTAAGGCACATTTTAAATCACAATATTCATCTAAAACAACTTCATAAAAGATAGACGTCCACTGACTTCCATCTTAGAAAACTATGATGCCCAATGGGAGCTGACGTCGCCGTAAACATCATCAAAACAAAGAGCTGTGAAGTTGTTGGCTCCCGTAGGTTTTCTGCTGAATTCTGTGTGTATCACAGATGAAGTGATTAAAGATCGCTCAGATTTACAGGAATACAACTTCAGAGGTAAAGGGGGAAAAGCTCTGAAAAGTGGATTTTGCAGAATAGGTCAGTTTTAAAACAACACAGGTTAGTTGTTAGTTGTGAGGAGTGCGCGGTGCGCTGTGAGCAGCTCAGTGCCTCATGAGCCAAACTGAAGGGCGTCTCTGACTGTGGAGTTTCCGTGCTCTGTGCACTGGCTGAACCCAGTCCTCATAATCCCTGGTTTTCAGCGGATTACCCCAAACTGCTCCGCATATTTCACTTTTCACTTTACAGCGCCTTTAATATGTGTGGGCTTTAGTGGTGAGTGCACACACCTCCCAGCCGGCTCGTTCCTATGCAACCCCACAACAGAGCTCTCCCTCCTGCCCCTTCATGTCAGAAGAGCCTCAGCCCACAGCACAGCTCCTGCCTGCAGCTTTACAGCCACTCGAGCCATTTCCCTCACACCAGAAAGTCCAAATAGTCTTGCCTCAGAACAGAGTGTTGCCATGTCACTAAAATTTAAATTTTGATACTAAGCAAAAGACTCAATACAATTCCAATACCACAATTCCACTAAAAACATTAAACAATAGAAAGTGATTTTCCACATGAAATCATAGAACTTTCTTTTCTATTCCCATGTGGCCTTATATCTGTGTAATCCTCAGTCGTCCAGGCAGGTTCCAAAAGCCTTGTTTCCACTGGGGCCCATTAGGGGTCCAGAGTGGACCCTGGAGGGTACACGCTGGGTTAAAATAACCCAATATTTTAACTGCAGATGGGTGTGGCCCATATTCTTTTTAACACAATGGACTGGGTTACATGATTTGACCCAAATTGTTGGGTTATAGTTTCTACCCAACACTGGGTTACATAATAAAAACAAAAACAAAAACATGGCTTTTACTAGCAATGAGTGTGTGAACCATTTTACCAAACACTTACAACAGCATCATGGATCTTAGACTTAGACAAACTTTATTGATCCACAAGGGAAATGATTTAGACACAGCAGCTCACACATCACAATATAATCTAATAACAAAGAGAAAATATAAATGGTTATACATTTTCTAAATAAATAGCAAATACGAGCAAGAGACTGGTGTGAAATAAAACATAATTTTATACAAGTAAATGTATAAGTTGAAATAAAATACAAAAATAAGCAATAAAATAAAAGATCTCAGTGTTTAATGGCCAAACACAAGGTCATCCTCAGGGGCCACAGACGGAGACAAAGTAATAAAAGTACTAATACTCAGAGCATTGTACAAGAGTAAATAAAGTAAATGTGCCTTTAACAGATTTCCTCCGATGAAACCCTCCAGTGTGAGTCAAACACAGAAACAGCCTCAAACCACTGGCCTATATTTGAACGAGCTTTTCCATAGAACAACACTCAAATATGTGAACTCCCCGAGCTTCTCTCTTCTGCCTTATTTCCAGGCACAATGTGGCCTGTGGTCAGCAGACAATGGAGCCGAGGAGGAGCTGACCCCAACTGCAGCCGCTGTCCAGCCTCCGAGCCTCCTGACCACACGAGACCTCCACCCACGACCACCCGAGAGGAGAGGAGAGGAGAGGAGAGGAGGAGGAGAGGAGGAGAGAGGAGGAGACAGGAGGAGGAGAGGAGGAGACAGGAGGAGGAGAGGGGGACACAGGAGGAGGAGAGGGGGAGACAGGAGGAGGAGAAGAAGAAAGGGGGAGACAGGAGGAGGAGAGGAGAGGGGGAGACAGGAGGAGGAGGAGAAGAGAGGGGGAGACAGGAGGAGAGGGGGAGACAGGAGGAGAGGGGGAGATAGGAGGAGAGGGGGAGACAAGAGGAGGAGAGGAGAGGGGGAGACAGGAGGAGGAGAAGAAGAGAGGGGGAGACAGGAGGAGAGGGGGAGACAAGAGGAGGAGAGGAGAGGGGGAGACAGGAACGAAGGAGAGACAGGAGGAGGAGAGGAGAGGGGGAGTTCTTTAGAGCATTCATCCTTCACTCTGCACTCAGCACTACTATTGTAGCCACAGCTGCCCCGGAGCGGACTGATCGAGGCAAGGCTGCCGATCTGTGTGTATGTGTGCAAACCTTCTTAAGAACAGAGAGAAAGAGCAGATGAACTAAAAGAAGAATGGAGAGAGAGCTGAGAAAAGGAGAGAAGTGCCAAGAGAGAGTGAGGAGCAGAAAGAGAGAAAGAGTGACAGAGAAGAGGAGGAGTAGAGAGAGAGTGACAGAGAAGAGGAGGAGCAGAGAGAGAGAGAAAGAGTGACAGAGAAGAGGAGAAGAAGAGAGAGAGTGACAGAGAAGAGGAGGAGAGAAAGAGTGACAGAGAAGAGGAGGAGAAGAGAAAGAGTGACAGAGAAGAGGAGAAGAGAGAGAGAAAGAGTGACAGAGAAGAGGAGAAGAGAGAGAGAAAGAGTGACAGAGAAGAGGAGGAGCAGAGAGAGAGTGACAGAGAAGAGGAGGAGCAGAGAGAGAGAGTGACAGAGAAGAGGAGGAGCAGAGAGAGAGAAAGAGTGAAAGAGAAGAGGAG